TCTCTCTCTCTCTCTCTCTCTCTCTCTCTCTCTATATATATATATATATATATAAAATTCTCCACTCGTCTCTCTCTCTCTCTCTCTATATATATATATATATATATATATATTAAAATGAATGACCATAGGTTATTATACAAGTTTCCAGTCACCCCTAATGTGCCTAACAATTCGAGTAACACCTCCTTAAGGCTGACTGTGTCAAAGGGGATTCAAACTCACGATCTGAGGGGTCTTATACCATGGATGCCAGCCAACATGCCGGGGCACACGCACACACGCACACGTGCACACACGCACACACGCACAAACACACGCAAACATATATAATATATATATATATAGGAGGATATTGTATCAGGTTGGATTATAAATTGTGAGCTCTCTCAAGTACCTTTAGGAGTGCTGAAGGCCGAAAGCCACCAATCCAAAGGAAAAAACGTTCTGCAGATGCTTTCCACAAGCCAGATACAATATAGAACACATCAGATTTAGCAGCAATAGATTTCATGCGGAATAGATTCTCATAGTGCCTCATTCCATTCTCCACAAGAATTCCTAATTCTATTTCTGATGCAGAACCTTGAAGAGCAGCTCTGAGTTCACAGATCTGCCTGCTTAGTTCTTCAATCCAGTGCCCATATTCCAGCTCAAATGCAGCAATGCCTACATAATCACAGCGACACAGAAGAAAGGTATAAGAGAATTAACTGATAATCATAGAGTGGCGAATAAAATAGTCTCTCGACCTTTTGCAGGGGGTTATGTTAATCCCAGAGTATATAAAAGTGTCAATTTAGTCCCTATACATTATTAATATGGACTACTTGAACCCCAATTTAAAGAGTTTGGGGACTGTTGAGAGAGCTTTGGAGGGTTGAATTTATAAAAGGCGGATTGGATTACAGATAAGACACTATCCAGAAATTTTGGTATCATGCGCAAGTTCCTACGGTTAATTACACCTCTCAATAACGGGAGAACACTTTCGATTAAGTCTAGTCATTAAGAATTGAATATTCAACATACAATAACAGCAGACATATAAAATTTTAAATTGTAACTAATTTGGTATTTTTTACTTTTGGACTAAAATGACCCCATGTAAATAGTCAATGAACTATTTTGACACTTTGTCAACAAAAAATCAAAGACCCAATAATGTGAAGCCATTTGATGATAATCATATTTTCCTTTGACTCTACACCGAAAGGTGTGATGATTTCTCAACCAATTTCGATGCGAAAGAGTGATCATATGGATGCAAGCTTATGTAGTGAAATCCCGATTCAAGTTGGCGACTTGATGTGGATGTAAGCTAATGGGAAAGCCGACTGAATCAAGTATATATTGCCTCTTGTTGTTATATATGCACTAATGATTATGTGATCATTAACTTGTATGCTATTGTGTTAGAGTTAATATATCATCATTGTGCTAATATGTTAATTGCTTTTGCATTTGCATCATTTCATAATAACCATAATATTGCTCGTATGTGGATACATTTTTTATCTTTTTATTTTTCATCCTTTGCATTTGCACTATTGATGTTTGATTACTTCAAAACAACTTACATCAATATGCTAAAATGCTGATTGCGTGCCTTATTAGCTTGATCTTCTACTAAGCAACATATATCATATGTGTGTTCCAAATAGTTCGACTATTTGCATAAATAGTTTAATTAACGGAAGATTTACATACATACCAACTCAATTCTTATGTATTTACATATTTAACACCTAAACTTCGATATTTATGTATATCCCACCTTATCTAAGCATGAAAAGATCTATTTTACCTTTCTAAAGTTAAAAATAGTCCTAGTTCAATGTGATAAGAAAGATTTAGGTGGTATAAATGTAAAATAGAAAAGTTTAGGTGTTAAATATTTAAATACATAAGAAATGGGATATTTACATAGAAACCACACAATTCTTATGTATTTACATATATAACACCGAAACCTTTATATTTGCATTTATAACACTTTGTTGTTATAAACTTATGTATTAAATGGTGTATTTCAATTTAAAAAGTAGATGAAAGTAGTATTTTTTATGCGATATAAAAAATTTGAGTACTATGCAAGTAAATATTAAAGTTTGCATGTTAGATATGTAAATACATAAGAATTGTGTTGTATGTATGCAAATGCCCCTTAAAAAAATTGAACCTAAGAGATGAAATAGTCAGTAATCAATGTCATACTAGCAATAAGAGATGAAGTATATTATAATTCATCAACTGAATGATAGGCTCATTTCCCTGATCAATAACATTCGATATATGATAAAACATCATAAAAATTTAATTATACCTGAATTAACAGATCCTGAATAACCAGCAGTAGAATTGCCTACATGCTCACCAATGTACACACCCTGCAACATGCTCGTAGTGTCTGATAACACGCATCTAGAGAAATGGCTTCTATGTTGGATGAGGAAAAAACACGAAAAAAGCGAGCATCATACCTGATTCCTGACCTTATCAACCTCTTGCTCAAGTTGGGCCAACTTTATACGGCTTAATTCGAGTTGCTGAATGTATGCCTATAGAGATAAAAAAATTATCTTCCAAACATTTGAATTTTTTGTGCATTTACAACATACCACCCACTTGTTATGTATTTACATATTTACATCTTTGCTTTTTACATTTATACCGCCTAAATCTTTCATATCTCATCAAAAATAATACTTGTTTAACTTTTAAGAGGTTGAATGCATCTTCTCATGCATAAAAAAAGTGGGGTGTATATGTGTGTGTGTGTGTGTGTGTGTGTATGTGTGTGCATGTAAAAATTAAAGTTATGTTGTCAATATGTAAATGGTGTGTGTGTGTGTGTGTGTGTGTGTGTGTGCCTGTAAAAATTAAAGTTATGTATTAAAGTTATGTTGTCAATATGTAAATGCATAGGAATTGATTGGCATGTATGCAAATCTTTCTTGAAGTTATTCTCTTCTGTCAAGGAAGTCATACAACGAACCTTCTTCCGAAGTCGACTTTTCCTTGCAGCTTCTCGATTTTGAGCCAAGCGTCTTATTAGCTGCACATGAAGCATATAATATCATGATTGTCATCATTAGTAATCTAATCCCGACATTTACGAGTAGTGTTTTCGTATAGAATGTGATATATAGAGACAAAATTGCTTGCACTTCCCATTAAAATAATCTTATTTCAAGAATTTGGAGTCCACATGTTGGCATGAATAACTAAATTTTTTATAAAACCATGTTCTTGTGAACATACATTTAGAACACTAGAGGCTGTTAAATTTATCAAAATACTTTGAAAAAATCATTACAATCTCTTTGAAGTGAGAGTAGTATTCCAAATAATCAAACTATGAAAGTGAAAGTGAGAGTGGTGTTTCAAATATATTAGTAGTGGTCCTTACTGTTGTTTTAGCTTTTGGATCGATGGATGTTCTCCTTAATGTTTCGTCCTCCTAAAAAATAATATCAAAATATTAAAAATCAATGGTTTGTGATTTAGCATTTCATATGTAGCTTACGACTATCATGGGTCTTGTTGAAGGCCTTTATCATGGTTGAGTAAGGTTCAAAATTATGATACATTGGTACGGATATGGGGGACGTGAACGTGATATGACACAGACACGAAACATATTTATTATTGAAAATGTATAATAAACACGTGTATAAAAATATTATATCTAAATATTAAAAAAAGAATATAATAACTTAACAAATTAAATAAATACAAAATGAATAAAAATATTAAACATATTTAAATTTATTAAATTCCTTAAATTAAATTGAATAAGAAATAATAAAATGATATTAGAGATTTTGAGCTTCAAATTGGATCATTTTATAAGAAAAAAAATTAATATCGCAAAAATGGCATAGAAAAATAGAGTAGAATAATAAAAAAAAATAAGTAACATATTTAAATTATAAATTTTAAAATAAAAGAAAACAAATGGGTTAAATTAAATTATTTATATATACTACAATAGCAACAACAACAAGTCTTTATCCCACTAAGTGGGGTCGGCTACATGAACCTTTTTTCTCCATGGTGTCCTATTGAGTGTCAAGTTTTCATTAAATTATTTATATAATATATATTTAAACTTAGAATTTATAAATCAAGCCATGTTTGTCAAACACAAGTATCTGTCAATTAGTTTAGGGGAATTCACATGCATATCACACAATTCTTATGTATTTACATATATAACACCAAAATTTTAATAATTGCATATATACCGCTACAATTTTCAACATCACATCAAATATACCATAATCATTATTTTTTGAAAAGTGAAACCCACATTTCAACATAGATATATGACACTAAGATATTATAAGTGTAAATATCAAATTGTGAGTTATATATGTAAATACATAAAAATTATGTGATATGTATGTAAATTTCCCCTTGTTTTCAACACGAAATACTTCGTTATTACAAAGTATTAGTCAATTCATTTGGTTCAAAAGCGCATGACAATGATGCTATTAAAAAGCTTCCTTTCGAGGTGGATTAAGGACCATTGTGAAGAACTAAGGGGAAATTTGTTGAGAAACACATAAGAGTAAAAATAATCTTAAATTGAAGAGGCAATTACATGCAGGCCACCCGAAACTTGTTATTTACAAATCAACCATGCTCTTTCATCCATTTTTCAAATTGTCACTCAAACCATCAAACTTCACGGTAAAACCCCAACCCATATTTTTCATTTTTATCTCATTCTCAGTAGTTGGATCGTGACACACGTAAATACATCGGTTCAGTAGTTCAAAAAAATCACCTGGGTGCTTAATTTGTAAATATCAATGTCTCCGGTGGTCTATATGCAATTATCCCCAATATGAAAATAATAATTAGAACTAAGCCCCTAATACTCATTAAATTAAAAACTTTTGAGTTAATGGATGCCTCTAATGTACTCAGCCTCCCCAATACTCCACTCTCCTATGAGGTTCACAGGTAGAAAGCAAGAAAGGAACCCAAGAAGTTCAAAAAGTTTCAAGGGCATTTAAACGCATGTCACACAATTCTTATGTATTTACATATCTAACCCCCAAACTTTTTTTTTTACATTTATACTACCCAAATCCCTCAATCACATCAAAAACACCACCATTATTTAACTTCTAAAAAGTGAAATACACATTTTCATACATAAACAAGGCGACATTTTGGTAATGGGTATGTAAATACATATGAATTAAGTGTTACATAGATAAAATTTCCAATACACAAAAAGATATCATATGGCTGCATAAATCATAAGCCAAACCAAACAGAAATCTTCAACAACAAATCTGAATTTGTTTACCTTATCAGATGGCTTGCTTGCTTCCTGCTCATAAGGCTTCGACGGCCCAACGATCCCTTGATGAGCATCTTCAGACTGCAGATACATCACAATAACAACAAAATAAACGTCACAGAATCAAAAGGATAAAACCCTAGAAAACCTAAATCCAAAAATTAGTCCCACCAAATTCTCAATTCTCCCATCTTGTTCCTCTAGAACAGCGGAAGAGCTCGTATTTTGGCTACTTTCAGCTTTGAAACAATCAGCCCAGATCCCAATTTGATGGCTCCCATCATACATGCCCATCCTCCTCATCTCCACCATACCCATCGATTCAATATTCATCCCTTCAAAAAAAATTTCATCCAATATCTCCAAAACCTGCAAAAACCAAAGAAATAAACAATCAGGCAATCAAACAGGACCAAATCTCTGCTCTCAGCATAACGAAATGAGGAGGGAAATGGGAATTACAGATAGAAGTAAAGAGCTCGATTTTTTTTTTTTAATGAAGATTTGAGCACCGGGGAGTGAAAAAGAAATCAAAAGGTTGTGGATTTGATGAGCTCTACGGGCTGCAAAACCCTAACTTCTCTTTTTCTTCCTCCCGCCAATGAAACTATAATCGAATTCCGCTCTCGAGCGGCAAAACGAGATTTTTTCTATGGAGATTTAAGCTCCGGGGAGTGATAAGGGAATCAAAAAATTGTGGATTTGATGAGCAATACGGGCTGCAAAACCCTACCTTCTCTTCTTCTTCCTCCCGCCAATGAAACTATAATCGAATTCTCCTCTCGAGCTGCAAAACGAGGTTTTTCCTATGGAGATTTGAGCTCCGGGGAGTGATAAAGGAATAAAAAAAGTTATGGGTTTGATCAGCAATACGGGCTGCAAAACCCTACCTTCTCTTCTTCTTCCTCCCGCCAATGAAACTATAATCGAATTCCTCTCTCGAGCTGCAAAACGAGGTTTTTCCTATGGAGATTTGAGCTCCGGGGAGTGATAAAGGAATCAAAAGGTTATGGGTTTGATCAGCAATACGGGCTGCAAAACCCTACCTTCTCTTCTTCTTCCTCCCGCCAATGAAACTATAAAGCAATACGGGCTGCAAAACCCAAAACGAGGTTTTTCCTATGGAGATTTGAGCTCCGGGGAGTGATAAAGGAATAAAAAAGTTATGGGTTTGATCAGCAATACGGGCTGCAAAACCCTACCTTCTCTTCTTCTTCCTCCCGCCAATGAAACTATAATCGAATTCCTCTCTCGAGCTGCAAAACGAGGTTTTTCCTATGGAGATTTGAGCTCCGGGGAGTGATAAAGGAATCAAAAGGTTATGGGTTTGATCAGCAATACGGGCTGCAAAACCCTACCTTCTCTTCTTCTTCCTCCCGCCAATGAAACTATAATCGAATTCCTCTCACCAAAGGATTAGAATGCCGACTAACTCTCAAGTGGAAGCCATCAAATCCAATTTTATTCCTCCACTTCTCTCCCCCACTCTCTCTTACTTGTTGCTTAAATTACCGCCAGAGTTCCGTTAATGGAAAAAAAAAAAAAGATATTTTTAATTAATTTGGCTTTTACGAACATACCACTCAAATCCTATGAATTTACCCGTACAGCTTCCAAAACTTTATTTTTTATATTTATACCAGATAAAAAAAAAAAAAATCAAGATTCATTTTGAAGGGATTATGTAATAAATATTAGTATTTCTTGAATATAGGGGTGTAAACAAGTCAAACACTAG